TATAAATCTAAAAATTCCTAAAATTTTTTATTAAGAACTATCAATTAAACATAATAATTACCTGGCCTATCCCAAAATCTAATTCGGAATAGATCATAAAATTATTTCCATTAAATAACTATCTTCCCCTTCTTCTCGCATCATTACGCCAATCACAAAAGTCCTAAAGAATACATATTAATTACTTATTAAGTTATATTTATCAACATATTATTATTTATTCATTTACTTACCCATAATCCCTCACCAGATTTCTCCACTTCTGCTTGCATTGGCAAGAAGAATAATTGCTGTTATAACAATGATTTATTCTTCTCATGACGCTCTGCCAAAATCTCAACTTATTTTCACGAAAAAGTATGATATTTGTGGTTTCTTCTCCTTTTTTCTTCAACCAACTAATTAGTCTCTGCATCTCACCAAACAATTCTTGCGGCAGCCATTTTTATGATGATTTATTTATAAAAAATTAAAAATTTGAAAATATTATATTTTGAATTAATAATGATAAGAAATTATTTTTTTAAAAGTTTCAAAAGTAAAAAATTAAATGATGGTAAAATACTTCCTTTAAAAATAAATTTCATTATTATTGAATCGAAATTCTGATTTGATATCTCATGAAAAATCTCTTTATTATTGAATTGAAATTCTAATTTGATATCTTGAATAATACAATAAACTCACAATCGAAATGCTCAAACTCTTTATGTTTAAAATTCTGATTCAGATTCCAAAACAATTCAACTGTTGTATTATTTATAAAATTAGATGAACATAAATATAACTTAAGCGAATTTTTTAATATGATAGATCATACAATTAGAGACAATAATAATTAATCACCTAGGTGATAAATATAAATTATTATAAAAAAATGATGCCACAATTTGGTAAAAAAACAATAGGAATTTCAACACAAGTTCAACACAATTTTAACACTATCGCAGGGGAGTGTTATTTAGTCAATGCATTAAAATTTGTATTCCTATGATACTATTTTATTATATTATTACATTTATTACGTAAAAAAAATACTCTCCAAATTATTAACATCTTTGCGTTAAAAAAAATAATTATAAAATAAATAAAATACTCCCCAAATTATTAATGTTTTTGCATTAAAAAAAATTACTATTATTCAATTATAATAACAAACTTATTGAGATTGGTTTGTCTCACTGAAATAAACTGGCTTTTTAAAGCTTCTTTTTTAAGCTTTTTAATAAGCTTTAATTCTTCATTGTTCACATTGAAAATTTCCTCCTGTTATTCCAAATATAAAATTACTTTATCATAAGCATTAATAGCTTCATTATAAGTAATTATCGGTAAAGGATCCTCTTCTCCTTCATTTTCTTGTTCTTGTTTATTAGATAAAACTGCTTTTACAAATTTTTCGTCAGATAATCATTTCTTCTATAGTCTTAGACTTATCAAATCAAACAAATTCTTCAGCAGTTAAAGGATCGTTAAAAACAAGTTTGTCAATTAAAACTTGAACTTCTTCCAATTCCTTTAGACGTTTAAGTTCAAGTTATATATTGGTGGAGGTTTACTCTTCGTCATTATCATTGTTATCATTGGGCAAAATATTTGCTTTCAACTAACAATTTTGTATTGTCTCTTATGTTACATTATTTCATGCTCAGGAAACATATTTCACACACTTTAATATTAATTTCTACAGGTTCGATACGATAATCATTGAAATAGTCAAAAGATTTGACCTGATTTTGTAGATAGAGCTTTCGATATTATACCTAAAATAAGTTGAATTTGAATTAAAGTATAAATAAAGTATAAAATATAGAAATGTTTAAATCAAATATGTTTTTTACCTTAAAACTATTAATGATACCTTGATCACAAGGTTAAAAATGCATCGTAGTGTTTGGGGAAAGATGTTTGATGATAATATTTGTTAATTGGGTGGTTTCATATATCAACGAGAAGAAGAATATTTTGATTTTACCTTATCATTCGATTATTAAGTTTCTTAATATATTCGTTTCAAATTGATACTTGCATCCAACGTTTTTTATTCCAGTAATATTCAACTAGAAGGGTCTTTTTATCAATATTTTTTAGAACCTAAGGATTTTCATACTTGTATATGAAAAGAGGAGCCAACTTTTCATTTCCGGTTGCATTACATGTAAGTAGGACAGTTATACGATCCTTTGATTGTTTAGTTCCAGATACTTGGCCATTTGATATTATGCGACTGGGTTTTATCTTCCAAAATAAACCTATTTCATCGCAATTAAGAACATCATTAGAGTCATAATTCTTATGGATGTTACGAATTTTATTATGTATAGCATCGAGATCATCAAGTAATGCATTTGCAGCTTCATCATATATATTATATTGCTATAAGTTATACCGTTTCTTGAAATTATCTACCCATTCACTGGAACCTTTAAATTTATCCTCACCACACCAAAAAGCAAACCCTAAAACATTTGTCAAAAGAATACTATCAGTTATAATGAGGCCAGCTTGGAACGCATTTTCTACCTAAAGAGTTAAAGCTTTCTTAATAAAAGAAAAAGTTATCTTTTTTCACGTTTCAACCCAGCTTTATATTATTCGGGTCTATACAGTGCTTAAAAAGTCGATGAAAAAATTTCAGAAATTTTCCGGTAAAATATAAATATTTCAGAAATCTAATTTTTCAATCGGATCATATGATCTGAATTAAAATTTTTTGCCAGATTTTTCAATTTTTGTATCACAAATAAATCATTATAATTAAGATAATCTTTTTTTATTAAATTGCTCATCTCACCTGTTTTATAATGTCGTTGTTATAATATGGCTTTGAGCGTAAAAGAGTCAATAAGGATGATTCTGACCAATTTTCTAACGAAAATAAAGCTGATAATTCTAATAACAATATAAAAAAACCTCGAATTAACAATAGCAAAACATTTAAACTCCAATGGTTAACTGAGTTTTCTTGGTTAAATTATGACGAAAATAAAAAAAAATATGTATTGTACATTGTGTATGCGGCATAAAATGAAAAATAAATTTGCTACAGAAGGAGCAACAAAATTTCAAAAAAATCAGCAATTAAAGAACATACAAATACCGAAGATCATAAAAATGCAGAAAAATTAGAAAAAGCAAGATTACAAATGGAATCTTTATAAAAGCAATCTTTTTCTTCTAATGAACATACAAATCATATTATTAGTGTAATATGAGCAGTTTATTTTTTAGCCAAAAAAAATTTATCTATAATGCTCTTACCTTCTATTGTTGAATTGGTAAGAGAATCAGGTTCTCCAAATATTTCTAATGGTACTGTTAACGTGTAATTCTTGCGAACTACAACTGTTAGACAGGGTGTTAGAGTGTTATTTCTTTTTAATATAAGTAGTAATCTTAAGGCTTTTACAAGTTTATTATCACAGCTAATCAAACAAAGGTTTGAGTCAAGATTTATATGAGTATTTCACGATCAACAATTCATGAGGTATTGAGTAATTATATTTTCAAACAAGATGTTTATTAATAAGAATAGAAATAGAAGTAAAGAAAATAAAAGATATGACAAGAGAAAAGAAAAGAAAAGAAAATAAGAAACGAAGTATGAAACTAAAATGTAACACAATAGGCCTGTTTACCTCTTAAAACTACTAAAAGCTGACTTGTCAAATCCTGCCTTTTTACATGGTTAAAAAGCTGTCTATTTATATAAAATACAGTATATAGAAATATATAACTAATATGTCTAATATATTGTATATGTCAAATATGTCCGATATGTCATATATGTCGAATCTGTCTATTATATCTTATTTATCGATTATGTCAGATATGTCATATATGTCAGACATGTTAGATTTGTCAGATCTGTCAGATTTGTCAATCATCTATGCTACGTAGGTCCTATTATATTTTATTCGTTTATAGTACAATTACATATACAAATCAAACTTCAGAAAATGAGTTTTTAGAAGTAATATCTAATACTATTGCAAAAGAAATTTGAAATGAATTAATCAATACTGTAGCATTTGGTGTGATGATTGACGAAAGTACAGATATTACTACTACAAAGCATTTAGATATATATGTTTCATATATAACTAAAGAGGGAATTTCAAAAACACGCTTTTTATGTCTTGTACCTTTAACTAATTCTAATGCAGAGGGAATTACAAAGGTTCTAGTTAGTATTTTTAAGACAAAGAAAATTTTATTCAAACTTGTAGCATTTGTTTTAGATGGTGCTTCAGTTATGTTGGGAAAAAATGAAAGTGTAGCTGCAAGACTTTCTAGAATATGCACTTATCCTTTAATTATTAATCATTGTGTGGCTCATAGATTAGCTTTAGCATGTAAAGATGCAAAGAAAGAAATTAAATTTTATGAAGAAGTTGAATTCTTAGTCAAAAAAATTTATAATTATTTTAAAAATTCATGTTCACGTATTCAACAACTGCAAGAAATCCAAAATCTTTTAGATGATCCAGTTTTAAAGATAAAAAGATTATATGAAATACGTTGGCTTGCATGGTATGAGGCTATTAAAAATATTTGTGATTCGATTCCAGCTTTACTTAAAATTTTCAAAGAATCAAAAAAAAAAAAGGATGGAAAAAAATTATATAATCAGCTAACATCTTGAAAGGCATTTGCATTTTTGCATTATTTTAATGATATTTTAGAACATGTAACACAATTAAGTAAATTTCTATAAAAAAGAAATTTAAAATTTTCTGATATAGATCCTATGATACAGGCTACAATTAATTCTATTCAAAAAGAATATATTCTAATAGACCAAAACCAAAGATTTGGACGAAAAGTTCAGGCATTTATTGATGAAACTTATCCATTTAGAAATTCTGTAATAACATATATGGATAATGATGTTTCATTTGTTGAACAAGATTATGATGATTTTATAATGGATATATATGATTATGCAACAAGTGTTATTAATGAACTTCAACAAAGATTCCTAATCAGCCATTATTTACTTCTATGAAAGTATTAAATCCTCGCGAATGGCCAAAAGATTCTCTTAAAATTATTGTAGTTTGGAAATAATGAATTAGAAAATTTATTAAAGCATTTTGAACATCTGAATTTCTATGATAATGTTCAATTACCAGCACTTTTTGATATTAACAAATGTAGAGAAGAATGGCCAGGATTTAAAATGATTATTACAAATAGTTTTTCTTCCAACGATATAGAGACAATTCTTCCTTTATTAATACAAGATTACAATGATGTATTTTCAAATCTTATCAAATTAATTCAAATAGTCTACTGTATTTTCTTTTCGAGTATTGAATGTGAGCGTGGTTTTAGTAAACAAAATAAAATCAAAACTAAAGATAGAAACTCATTAGCAACAAATACATTAGATATGTTAATGCGTATCTCTTTGGAAGAACCAGAAAGTTTGAAGTTTAATTATGATCGTGCATAAGTAATTTGGAGTAATCAAAAAATGCACATTAGTGTTAAATAAATGTATTGAGTTTGTAACCATATTATTGAAATAAAAGAATTTTTTTTTATGTTTAAAATATATGAAATCTATTATTTAATATTTATCGGCATATAAAAAGTATTCCAGAAATATGCTGCGCTATGACCGAAAAAATTCTGGGACCATAAAATTTTGTCGGATTTATTAAAAATTTTCAGAAAAACTGGGAAAATTAGAATAGGTTTTAAGCACTGAGTCTATAGCAAGCCAACGGTCCTTTTCTTTTAAAATGTCACTAACCATACCCTTACCAACTTCATATTTGTTTGCTAGGTCTTTTTGTTTTAGTAATTAGAATGAAATTTTTTTTAAACAAATCTCTTTTTTGTGTAACAGTTAGAGACTTTCGTTTTTTTAAAAATTCATTACTAGAACTTACTTTCAGCATTCTTATGTTAAAGAAATATAAAAAAAATTGCAAAACATGCGAAACAAAGAAACATTTATAAAAAAAATTGCAAATCATTATATGAAGGACTTTTGTTAACTTTATTAAGGTACAAAAATTACAAAATTTCATGATTTTTTCTATTAAAATTAATTTTGTAAATCTTCGTTGTATTAAAAAAATCTTCGTTATAAATAAATGCATTATACAAAGAAGCATTTATATAATGCATATTCACACACTTAAATTTGTTAAACATAATACGAATTTTAGTTTAATAAATTCGGTATAAAAAGGTTTTTTCTATATTTAAAAATCTGTATCATACTATAGATCTGTTATATCATGAAATTTGTTATATCAAAATTCGTTATAGAAAGAGTTGACTGTAGAGTTTATTTTCAGAATAATATAGTAATACAATTTTATATCAAGATTTTAGTAAAATTGAAATATGTAATATTAAAAATCATTGTGTATATAATATTATATCTTATAAGTCACAAAATTTACAAAAAAAAAAAATATTAAAGGTAAAGAAAGAATAAATAATAATAAAATACAAATAACAATAATAATAATAAAAAAAACGTTATTTCTACAAAACAGAGTTATATTTAATTTTATCAGTTTTTAATTTTAATTATTAAAAAATATAATTTAAAATAGTAATTTTAATTTTTATATAGAAAAACTATTAAAAATATAAAATTAAAATACAAGACTTGAATGTATAAATTATTTTTTTATTCTATAAGTCTATAAATTGAATATTATATGTAATTTTATTAGCTTTAAAATTTTACTTAATATGAAAAGAATTATTAAAAATGCTACTTTTAAAATTTTTATATAAAAACTATTCAAAATACATTTTAAAGATTATTTTTACTAAATATTATATTTTTATATATTTTTAAATGTTTTATGATTTTATATAATATATAAAAACAGATTTTCATGTTAAAATTTGATTTATATATAAAAAATTATTTAAAACTCAATTTTAATTATAATATTTAATGATTGATATATTATATATTTTTTAAATTAAGTATTATATATAAATCTATTAACTTTATAAATAAATTTAATAAGAAAGGGTAAATTTAGAATATCAATTATATTAATTTTAATTTTATATAAACAAATTATTAGCAATTATAATTTTTTAAAAAATTTATTTTAAAAACTTAAATCTAAGATTATTTAAAATTATGATTGATATAAAATTATAATTCTAATTTTTATTAATAATAAAATCTGATTTAAAATAACATTTTGTTATAATATTAAATTGTAATATTTATATATTAATGAAGGTTAATAAAAATTTATATTGATTTTTTTTTGTACTTATAAAAATTTTGTTAGTATTACTTTAAAATATGTTATTTTAATATTTAAGATTTGATATTAATAATTTTTAGCTTGTTAAATTCATCTTATTTCAATGAATTAAATATTAAATTATTATATTAATCAATAAAATTATAGTAACAAAATATTGTATATATTATCAATTAATCTAGAAATTAATAATTAATATTCATTAGATTCATTTCTATACAACAAATCTACTGGTCTTTGTTTCATAAATATTAAAGCAGTATTGACTAAGATATATCAATTTAAAATTATATAGCAATATAAAAAACATATCTATTAAATATTATTAAAGTTAATATAAAGATAAAGTGATTTACATAAATTATATTATTTAGTATACAATTATTGAATAAATATAATTATAAATTTTTATTTATTATTTTATTAATCTGAAATATAATGAAGGATTATATAAGTTTATATTAAAAGTAAATTATGTCTGAATATCTATCTGTTCAAAAATTGAGACTATTTTAATTGGTTAATTATGTTTCAAAAAAAAATATTATTTATTTATTAAGCTTTTCATTAAATAATTTAACAAGTATACTCTAATATTAATAAACTAAATATATTTTAATCTATATTACTTTGATATTAAATTTTATAGTAAAAGTAATACTTTCAATTTTTTATAAAATTTAAAAATTGTAAAATTTATTATTTAATAATGTATTAAATATAACATATTATTATTTATTTATATAAAATTTGTGTTATTATAAGATATTTTTTAATATTTATTGTTATTAAAGGTCTAACATAAGATATTTGAGAAGTTAAGTTAGGAATAAAACCTTATGAATTTTTTAAATAAAAGTGAAATATGTTTATAAACTCTTAATATGTATAATACATCACAATTGAAATAATTATATAGATATAAATATTAAATTAAGTGTATTATTCTATTATTATAAATGCAATTGTTAATATAGTAGTAAAAAAAGTATAAATTTGCAATAATACAATTTCCATTAGCTAATACTTTAGTTTATAATTAACAAAATCAAGCTTTAATATTATTATTATCTGGTTATATTTTTTATAATTTAGATTCTCAAAAGTTTCAAGAAAGGTAAGATTAGATGTGAGGATTTAGATTCTTAAATGTTTAAGCAAAGAAGTCTAGGTATTATAACTTAAAATTGAATAGGTGTGCAATACTTAACTCTTAATTACTAATCTAGTTACAAGAAATAAATAAGTTGTTGTATTTCTTTTATGGTCAAGTATAATTTATATAAATGTTTCTTTGATTCATGTTTGGCTTTGTTCAATTACAGTGGCCTTCAAAAGTATTGCATCACCTGAATACAAATTTTAAAATGGCATTTTCTTGTGATTAAGGTAGTGCAGTATCATATAAATTATTTATTAGACTTATTATAACCAAGTCTATTCAATATATGAAAATTGGTTTATAGTAATGAGATAAATTTTTAAAAAATATTTATTTTTGAACAATTAGGCGATCCTTTTCTTTTGATCGTTTTTTTATTAAATTTTTTAAGTATATAAAAAAAATCAAAAATATAACCAACTTATTAAAAACTTTGGTAAATAATTATTTACCATTTTGTATAGCCGCCATTAGCTCTAATCACATCATTTATACGAGTTGGCATAGTATCAACCAACTTTTTGCATACATCGGACCCTAACTCAACCCAAATTTTTTGAATTGCATCCCATAACTGATCCTGTGTTCTAACAGGTGTTTCAAGCTGCCTCAAACGATGATCCATTTCATTCCAAAGGTGTTCTATGGGATTTAAGTCAGGGGATTATACTGGCCAATCAAAATCTTTAACCCCATTATCTTCAAACTATTGCTTTGTAAGATGTGCAGTGTGTTTAGGATCATTATCCTATTGAAAAATAATATTTTCTTTATCCATTCCATGCCACGCAATGGTTCCCAATAGGTCTTCCTTTAAAATTTGGCAATATAAATCACCATTCATATGTCCATAAATTTGGCATATGTTACCAACTCCATCAGATGTAAAGTATCCCCACACCATAATATTACCCCATCTAAATTTAACCGTTGGTTTAACATGATTATCGCATAATGGTTCTCCTGGCTTTTTCCAACAATACTCTCTACCATCTGATCCATAAATCATAAATTTTGACTCATCTGACCAAACCACTTTACTCCAATCTTCAACTGTCCATAACTTGTATTTTTTTGCAAATTTCATCCTTGCGATTCTATGTGTTTTTTGAAGATATGATTTTTTGCACTTAACCTTTGCACTCATTCCATTTCTATATAAGATTCTCTTTACTGTACATTCACTAACTTCAATTTGTTTTTCTATTTTTAATTTTTTTTGAATTACAACAGTATTGCTACATTCACCTGTTGTAATTAATCTCAAAATTTTTCGTTCATATCGACCAGTTAAGAGTCGCAGACGTCTAGATTTAGGTTTATTTTTATTGTTACCAGTTTTATCTTTATGTTGCTTAGTTCTTATAACAGTTGATTGAGAAACATTTTCCTTGTCTGTTATATAGCGAGAGGGAAAACCTTCATCAAATAAGGCACAAATCTTAGCTCTTTTTTCAACAGAAAGATAAACTATAGATATTTTATAAAATTACAAAGAGGCGAAAAATGCCATAAGGTAGTATTGGATTTTGGACTTGTCCAATTGCTTATTTTAATTGGACAGTTTTAGATGTATCCAAAATTGTCCAAAACTGTCCAAAACTAGTTTAGGACAAAATTTAATAATTGATTTAATAATTGATTTATTATGATAATCTTTTTTTTCTACAGTTTTTTAAAATTAAATATGA